ATAGTTGCATTGCTTTAAAAAAATCTGCGAATACGACGTATTATTGTACGTAATTTGTGAACAAGTATTCATATCAGTTGATTGATGAACAGATACCATCTCATATCACTTCTTTTTATTTTACGTTTCTGTGCTGATAATAACAGTGCTTCCTATACAATAGTTCTCTCGATTTCGATTGGTTATTGTTTCATTTCTTAGTATTATTCATTTTAAAACTTTCATTTTTAGTTTAATTGTGTTATGATGCAATCAATCTTGCAAAAAATAACTGAATAGTGATGTGTTAACATTTTTTAATGGGAGTGTTAAGTCGTTTGGGAGAAATAGCACATAATCTATAATTTAGTTCATTGGAGCTTTTGACTGCTTATCGTAGATGATTGGTGTATGGAAACGGAAATCTAGTCGCTGATTTAGATTTAGCATATCCGATCACTTGAAGATAATATATTCGTCAAAAGTTTGCGTTCAAAAAAAAATTTTGAAATCTGCTGCATAGTGTTAGGAACGATAAAGTTTGGGAATTAGCATTGAACTTGAAAAAACACTCTAATTCTCATTTATGTTAGTTTGTTGTGTGATACGGTTGAATTGTGCAGTCTGTTCAGTTGAATTAGTAGTTTTCGCTGACATATTCCTTAAATAGAAGAGAAACATTTAACCACCAATGGAATGAATGGTTTTTGTCGAAAATTCTGCCGAAACACAACAACTAATTGTGAGGCTCACAAGTAAATATTTTCACGCTTGATAACGGTGAAATAATTTGCAGATAGAGTTTATATTAAGGTAATCAACTTCAAAAAATCATTATTATTGTTGGGATTAGTAATGAAAACGAAAAGTACTACAGTTATGCTCGTGTATCCGTTGTTGTATTATATTATTTCACATCGTCAATTGAGTTAAAGTGAGCAGTGGGTGTTTAACACGCGATCAAAATGTAAGAAATACAATAATAAGTTGTCTAGCAAACGAATCAACGAGTAACAACACAAATACTAGTGCTTGTTATGTGCTCGTACTACTCACTCATCGTCAGTGTTTGTTTACTATTGCAGCTTACCAGATTATTCATTCACTAAGTGAATGTCGCTCTTTTTATTTACTTCGTCCTCTTTGACACTGTTGTTTCAAATTTATTCACAAAATTTCAGTTACAAATTTTTCAATTGTTTTAAGTGAATGTCTCTAAGAGATTCCCTAAAGTTTTCAGTCGAAAGCAGTCGTTCACATTTATGAACTCTATTTGAAAAGTTTCATTCACACGTACTGCCGAAATAAAACTGCTCTTAGAAAATTCCACTGCTTTGCAAAAAACTTAGCTTCTTCACAGTCATTTATCAGTGTTCAGTACATATGAACACATAAAAAGTTTACTAAACTGGACATCTTGGAAAACAGAACGATTGCAAAATTTACTGAATTGATAATATTATTTTTGGTCTTTTTATCGCTGCATTTATATCAACAACACATGGAACACTAGTGGAAGTATTCCTGAAGAATCGTTGCGCTGATAGTTCGCCCTAACCCACTAAAGTCTTCAGTGATAAAATCTTACTTTGAGTTGGATTCTCTGAGATACTCATAAATTTGAACGCGAGCAAGCACTAGTGCAGCTAAAGAATGTTCAATAATCATGGTTCCTGTTGCGAGGTACGAGGAGTCAGTCATAAGAAAAGCACCTGTCAGCAAGGAAAACTTTGTTAGCCTTTTGGACTCCGACGGGTTAAAACGACAGTTCCATTCATGATATCCAGCCAGGAAGATATTAGTTCTGAACGAAGGAAGTTCTCGATGATGATGATTGGGATTGGGAATATACCATAGCAATACTCACGTCAAAAGATTTCGCTTCTCTGTTATCGGAACGTTTCATGCACATCTATCACTATTACACAGCCTCATTTAAAAAAAGACTGAGTTAGAAATTTCTGGCGAAGTTTCGAGGATTTGATAACATTCCATCAAAGAAGTTGACCGCCACCGCAAGCTTTACGTTAATGTCATCTTTTTTTTCGAATTTAAAAAGCCTATACGAAAATGCTCGAATGCATAGTGCTGTATGATGCCCGGTATTTTGTTTTTCATTGCTTCAGTATGGTCCTATGCGAACCGCAATCATTTATTGCTGCATCAACCTTATGCTCATCTCTACAGCTATTAGATTTCGAATGCTTTTCTCTACACTTATAAACTTAGCATCATTTTAAACTGACGATCAATATATTATAGTTTTCAATACAAACACTTTTTTATTGGAAGGACTCTGTAAATACCCCATAAGTACGAGGTTTTTGGATGAAATTGACCAACGACAGTAGAAAAGTACTGCGGCATACCATTATGTTCCACTACAATGGCCTTTTGAAAATATCAAATAAGATGGCGCCACAGTCGGAAATTACTGTTGTTAGCTATGGCCAAACGTACATGTGCGCAAGTTCCATTAACAGTATTTCTTAGGGACAACAAAAAGTCGGGTCGCGAAAAGGAATAGTTTCGGATGTTGAAGACCACGTTTCGGTGAATTAGATCGTGGCAGTAAAGAAGGAGAATGATGATAATGATATCAAAGCAGTGTCGAAACGAGCTCGTGAAGACGATCACGAACTCTGGTCAAATTGGGTGATCTCAGCGTGCAAATAAAGAGGGATCTCGTCGAGCCGTGGAGTTCGACGAGGCTAGCAATAACTTATGTAGAGAATCATATACTATTTTATGTTCGGTTTGGGGTGGTTTCATTATGAGAAGGGAAGTGAAGTCAACAACGAATTACGACAGTCAGAGTGATTGCCACAATCAATGATAGTACAACTCCTGGATGAAAATGTCATCTTTCCTGTTCATTGAATGAAATTTAGAAATTCTTCATTGATTTGATCTCCATTCAACGTATCATATTGGCCGTAAAAATCGGAAACCGAAACTTTGGGAAGAAATACCGAAATCACCTGGTTTGGTGAGGCTATCAAATCTTTCCAGTTTCCCGATACAGGAATCATTCTTTCTCTGAAAGTAGGCAAAATCCATCAGCATTACGTATAGTTTTCTGACAGTAGAGAACATCTTCTATCCGCTTGTACTGTGAAATGAGCATGTTAATGAGCAAGAATGAAGTCTGAACATGGAACTCGTACTATTCCTATTCTAGTGTAGTTGACTTCAAATCTGTTTTCCGAGTTGCAGAACTCTGATGCGACTGATGAATAGAGGAAGCTATGTTCTGAAATAATATAATTTATGCATATACGTAGCATGCCTACACGTTGTATTTCTGTGCATTTTTGAGTGAATCAGTGGTTGCTAAACAGATCTCGAAATTCTAGTGGTAATATCTCTACAATATATTATTGTAGTTTTATAAGAGTGGAATCATGAAAGAATAGCACATTACTTGTTGTGTTCCAAAACGATTCTATTTGTTGTGAAAGTGATCTTATTCTAAAACTGATTTAGTACACCAAAACTGGGTTCATACCAAAATTATAAGAAAAGGTACGGTGTTTTCACTCAGTGCTTACTCTTCTTCACTCTTCTCCACCCCCTCCACCGTAACTCATAATCGAAAATGATTGCATAAAATCGGAGAAAAGATTCGGAATTAGTTGGATGTTTCTCGCAAGATGACATATATATGCTGTGTTTCGAGACTTCGACAAATGTTTGAATTGCATTCTGGTAAATCAAATCGATCTCGCAGTTCAGCTACCCGAACCTATTTTCCTGGGGATTGCTGAGTTCAGATCTGACCATCGAATATAAAAAAACATAAATTAAGGTATGGGTAATGATCAGTGGTTCCTAATTTGAAACAAAAATTAACCCAACTCTGGCTCCACGTTTGTGAAATTTCGACTTTGGCTCCAGCTGTGAAATTTTCAATTTTCGAATCCAGCTCCAGCTCCGGTTCTGCTCTTTCGAGATTCGGCTCCGCATTTTTTGAAACTTCGGCTCCGGCTCCAGCTCCGAAATTTTTTCTGTTTTACTCTGTTTCTGGAGTCATCTGGATCCGGAAAAAAGTTATCGTAGAGGATTTTGCTGTGATATTTTTTGAAGGAGCCAAAAAAAAAATTGTAGTGTCTTCGGAGTTGGGGCAACAATGGTCATGACCCACGGTTATTTGATGAATAGGAAAATGTGAACATTGCATAAGGTTCAATTCGCCCGTAGACTTGATTGTCGCTCTTATTCTTGTCATTATTGATAATTTCACTATCACCATTATGAATGCTCTCACAATTATTATTTGAAACTTTATTATTGCCGATAATTTTCAAAATTTTCAACCACATTTCGCAGAGCGTACTTGGTGTTCATGTGTATTCGAATATTAAGGTGACAAAGTTTTGTATGGAAAAATGAAACTCTGAAAAATACAATTTCCAGTTCTGAAAAACAGATGTTTTAGTATGAAAACAACATGTGTGAGATACCGATGCAAAAAAATTGGTATGAAAGATTGCTGGTTTAATCTTTTTTTTCGGCTCAAGTGCCGTGTTATGCGAATTTCGGCGTTCGAAATTTTCTTGGTCACACCCTCCAAAACAGTGTCTTTTTCACTAAAAACAGCCATTCCATGAGTTCATCAAAAACTCGCGCCATCTTCTTTGTACACTGTGTCTTAGGCCAAAAGACTTGCTGGGTAAAGTTGTCTTTTGGCTAAGGTGCCTATGTTTTTTGGAGCAAATTTTCACTGAGATTTTTTTAGCGTGTTTTTGAAGGGTGAGATCTTGAAGATTGTATAATTCGAAAATCGCGTACAATGGCACCTCAAAGGAGCAACAAATTGCCCCAGCGATCTTTCAGATTAGTTTTTTGGACTAATTTCATAACTGTTGTTTCTAGACCAAAATTTTCCTAAAATTGGACTTCATATCTCCTGAAACTGGGAAAAATACGTGATCATAGTGTACATTGTATTTTAATCAATCATTTTTTTGCATCATTAAAATTGATATTCAAATTGATTCGCTTCTTGTAGCATCGAACATATGACGCCAACAACCAACAGCCTGACATCTGCCGAATCGATGACCGCAACTAGCGCACCGGCATCCGAGCATCAAGGTGTACACTTCATTCTTGGTTACATATTATCTCAAGTCAACAACATATTCTAGGGTCGATATGTAAGGTTCAAAAATTTCAGAGCCACAAGGGTCGAGGGATGTTGAGGTGGGCGGAGAAGAACTGGCGAGACGGACTTGTTCCGGCAGTATCCAGCAGTTCATGCGTTCGTGGAAAACTGCGATACGGGTGGGTGCGTGTGAGAAGTGCATTTCATTTTTTTAATGCAAAAAGCGCATAATAATCGTTCTGTTCCCTTTTATTCATCCATTGTTCTGTTTCATGCTTCATTGTGCCCCACATCGTCCACATTAGGGTAAGGGTTGGTCTGTTCAAAATTTCGATTAATTTCTTGAACAATACATAGCAATATGACCTATCTGAAGACAAACAAAGTCTCAAACAATGCAGCTGATTTTCTTAAAATCTACAGTTTGTTTTTAAATAATTCATTTTGTGGTTACAGATCTGATCAGTACAATTATGTGCATTTTGCCTTCAAGCTTATCTTCGGAAAATCTCCCTCTTTACTAAAAATACACTCGAAAATGAATGAAAAAGTGCAAAATAATTCTTTGGACGAGTGCGATGTCTTTTTTTTCATAATTTGAGCCTAAATTTGTTGTCATGAACAACGAATTGTTTGCAGCCATGGTCTCAGTTTTTTAGCGTCTCACAGATGAGCTTACCACCATGCACAGATGGCTACGTATCACGACTGAAAAAGAATCTGGTTCATTTTGTGGGTAACTATTTCGCAATTGCCACCATTCTACTGGTAATTCATTCAAGCGTTCAATCAATCGCATCATTATCATGTTCAATCACGTTCAATCATTATCATTTCATTGTTGCACTTGTATCTGGTGATGCTTGCATAGTGGGTAATGCTTGCATCCGAATGTGGTTGTGTCATATCGAGAAAAGCCACATTCAGAAAATCCATAGGAACAACTTTCAAAAAATCCCGAAAGCCATCTTCAAAATTTTGTATCAGTCATACTACTACTGTAGAGTGCCATTAAGGCGACTTTACCGATGTGTGTCCTCTTTATCGTGGTATTTGCAAATTTCTACCACTTAATTTAGCTATCATACTTACCGACTGTATCCAGTTTGGGCTCTTCCATGTAATCTTGTGACCGTAAACTGATCTTGCCTCTTTGATTATCACATCAAATCCGGCGAGTTTAAGACCGTTTTAATTTGTTTTAGAAAGATGTATCAGTCATATCGATAGAAAAGGACGTTGCAGTACAACAACCTTTTGCAAATGAACTTGTGAATGAACAGTATGTATGTTTCAGTTATGCAGTATCATAACATCGTTTTGGTTGTTGGTTTCGTCAATAATACTGTGTATACTGTTGTTCATGATTCGAGCAAGAACGATGAAAGGTCCCATCAAAGTTGGTGATGAAGAGGTGATTTTTAAAATGTATTTTCATGATTGTTGGATGATTCTCATGGTGAAGCAATAATTAATGAATAATCCCTTCAATAATATCATCTATGTATTAGTTTAGTGTCAATAGATACCTAAATTACTGAGTTTCATTTAGTGTAGAGTCAAAGTGGTTGAATCTTCGGCTGAAACGAAAATAATATATTTATTTTATTAAACTAGCGAAAGTTGTTGCTTAATCGAGTTCACCACTGTAGTACATTTTATTGTTGAACAATTCAGATACCATCGTGGATTCTGTACGCAGGAGCGATTTTCATTACATTGCCGTTGTTTATTTTTGCACACGTTGGTTATATAGTATATTGTGCCATCGGTAAGTGGAAGAATGTTATCCAAATTTGTGCGTTTTATCGAAAAAATAGCAGTTTTGATATATTTGCTAAAATGTTCGTCAGTGTCACTGATTAAATGATGCTATAAGATGTTTTAGGTGCGAGCATTGTGTTAATTCTTTTACATGCAACATTCTACGAGAACGAGTCACCAAAGAAGAATGAAATAAATATTGAATCAGGCCAGTCAGAAATGACTGAATCAGCACAAGTGACCGCTGCTGCTGCTGCTGAGACTGAACAATTGACGACTACTACAGATAGGCCAATCATTCGCGTCACTGATGAGCAGTCGAAAACACGAGTTCATTTTGATGACAGAAGAACTTAATAATTTGGATTATAGATTCACTGACTTCTATTCATATTAGAATTCATCGAAAGAAATCAGTGTCCAGTATTCAACATGCGTGATGGAATTGCGCTTCTTTTTTTAAATTGATTTTTTGTTTTCGGAAGTGTTGTGTTAATAATAAAATTACTCACTATCAGTAGACAGAATATGACTAACGATTATTTCAAATGTAATATCGATGTAAGATGAACATTTTTTATAAGTTAACGATGCTTCTAAAGGTGTAATTGCTGCATTATGCAATTGGGTGTGTATTTTTTTTTCGAATTGTTCAGTTATCATTGCCTTCATGCTAGCCATACGCAAAATAGAATCATGATAAATTTGATCTTCTTGGACAATTATAAACATTTCAACTGCAAACTTGCAGCTTAAAAACTTCATCTCTCCGGTAAGTAGGAAGAGAAGATAAAACTAAGTTCAGTCCAATCAAAGCCGATGGATGCTTTTTCGGGAGGTGGAGGGGTTGAGATGTGTAAACGGATGTATAATTAATGAAACATTGGTAGTTTGTTACCTACTAATTGAATGCAGTGCTGTTGGATATCCTATGAATTCGAAGCAGCTGATCGAGCCATACAACATTGAGGAATATCTTGACACCACCAACACAACGCTGGCTCGATACCGAACTTGCCCATTACCTGGATGATGGAACACTTCAAAAATTAACTAACCCATGTTTATAGATGATGGCTTTATGCCATCTCACAATCAAATTAGCTTGTTCGAGATATCAGTAGTATATTTAATTTTTAAAATGCTTAAATTTTCAACAAGCGACACTATTTCATCTTCGCTTTTAACAACTATCTGTTCGAGACAGAATGCGAAAGACAAAACAATTCAGGCAGTAATGAAATATTTGAACCAAACCATTGGTCATGATCCATATCTAACATCACCTAAAACTTAAGCTATATTGCGAATAGTGATCATTCACAATAATGATCAAATGAACGTGAATGAGCGCCACTGCACTAATTGAGCTGGCTTTAGAAAAATAGCTATAATGGTTGAAAGAATGTAGTATATACGGTATATATTTGAAGGTGAATTGATAATAAAGAGTGAAATGAGTGGAAGAAGTTTGTGTGAGGGTGTGGAAGTGGGATGTATACGGTGAGATGTGTGGCGATATAATGAGGGTGGTGTTGAGTTGGGGGATGAATACTATAGACAGATGGTAGAATAAAGGAGATATTGAGTGGAGTGGTAGATGTTGTAGACAGATGTAGATACAGATCAATTGATGATGAGAGTTCATGTTTCGGCCCTTAGTCGCTTACATGTTCCCTCAGGTTGTGCACGGGCCATCGTCAGAACGATATGCACAACCTTATTAGAGTTGGTGGTAGAAAGAAATCAAGTGAGAAAAGAGAAAGAAATAAGGTGAATAGAATATGAAATAAAGAGAGGTAGAGGTGAGCGTAAGTAGGAGATTTATGTGGATAGAAGATGAATATGAGTGAGGGATGATAGTGTAATAGAGATGAGTGATATGTAATATTTATAATAATAAGAGATGTAAATTTATGGAAGCGCGGCATGTACAAAGGTTTGGTGAAGTTGAAAAGGGGCAAAATATATGATCCGGGAAAAGCTGGGAGTATCGGTAACTCAGAGATCGTCACGCCCATGGTACTATATTAATGTATACAATTGATCTCTAGTGATACAGTGTATTTGAATGAGTGCCTCTGCGCTAACTGAGATGGCTTCAGAAAAATAGTTATATCTCCTCAAGAAAGCAAGAACGCCCAGCAAAATATGTGCTGTTCTGAAGGTGAGACACCGATCAATCGAATGCTGCAAAGAAATTCATATGTTACCGGGAAAAGCTGAGAGTACCGGCACAACGAAAATCGTAACGCTTATAGTGCTATATTAATGAATACCACTGATCTATAGTGATCAAACGATCGGGCAGAATTTCTGCTTTCAGAAAAGTATATATTTTGTCGGGCGATTTTGCTTATTTGAGGAGGTATAGCTATTTTATTGAACCTATCTCAACTAGCGCTGAGGTGCTCAGTGATATGCAACTGATCACTATAGATCAATGCATATTATATAACACATTGCTATAGAAATATAGGTTTGAAACATTCAAGCCTCCCGTCTTCTCAAGTTTGCCCAATAACATATTGATGTTTGTGCTTCATTCGATTGAGCAGGATCTGGGCTTTCTAAAGATGAAAATTTCG